GCTACAGTACAGGTATTCTGTGAAACTTCCGCTGTTCAGAATTAATTGCCTTGTAAAAAGAGAAGATATGCTTTAGGAAGTATGGATTTTTTTCAAAAAATATTTAAAGGGAAGCGTGAAACTGAGTAAGGAGATCTTGATTATTCTGTTGTGTTAAAGGTGGCTAAAGTGGCTGGAAGCTTTCCTAGGTACAGTTGCTGTATGGTGAACTTCAGCTTATTGATTGAATACTCAATCTCTCTTGCTGGGCTACGTATCTTATGGGGATTTACTGTTTTAATGATGTTCGTGTTGAAATGAAACATCCCTGTGACAGTAAAAGATGTTGTTTGCCTCACAGACTATTTTGATACTTACTTAATAAAACTAAGATTTGCATGCATCTTAAACCTGGACAGTACTGTACTTGCTGTTTTGATTTTGTTTTTATAAAAGAATCAAAACATGACAGTCTACTGCAAAGAAGGCTGAGTTTTATGTTTATTTTGCTACTTCAATAGGAGAAAGAAGCATGCCATTCACAGCAGTGATACAACCTCTTCAGATGAAGAACGTTTTGAAAGAAGAAAATCTAAAAGCATGGCCAGAGCACGAAATAGGTATCAAAGCAACCTTGGTCTTTACTAGGGTTTTTTTTAATTATTATTCAGCAGAAAACAGGCAGAACTATTCTATAAGGTTTTGCTGACTTTTTTGATTCTGCCTGTGATTGCCTGCAGACTCAGTGTAAGAGGAGTGCTGGTCTATTAACATAGATTTTGAAATTTCATGAGTAGATAATTAACAGTAGTGATAAAAAGATTGAAAGATTAGAATATCTGATTCAGTTGGATTATAAGACAAACAACTTGTGTTGGTTAAAATGGGTTTTTATTCTTGGTGTTAGTTGGTCCCAGTTAGTTCAGTTGTATTCCCAATACTAGCTCTTATTCTTCTCTCTTCCTGTTGTGTAACGATATGTGCATTCTAGACACCCACACATTTTTTGACCTTACATTTATTCACCAGTTATCTAAAAGTGGAAGAGCTATAAGGTATATCAGAAAATTTACTTATTGCTACAGATAGGTCTGTTGGAAATCCGAACAGAAAAAAATAAGGTATTTCCTTGTCTTTACATCTCTTCCTGTCTGCCACACCATTCCTTTGTCCAACCTGGGGAATTCCAAGGATGTGAAACTACCAAAACTGTTGTTCCAAATGTAGCCTGTGTCTTACTGGTATCTTTCTTCCTCCCTTTAACTGTGTATTTGACCTGATGTAATAACTGTGTAGAGGCTTAAAGCTTCTTTGTATGCACTAAGAAGCTGGAACAGATGGATGTGAGTTATGGCTGATAAGCAAGAAATATTTTTATTTCCTTTCTTTGGGCTTAAATGAGTTATACTTTAAAAAATTAGTTTTCCTTCTGCTGTTAAGCCTTTTCCTGCCATGCTGAACTTACGCAGTTCCTCACTGCCAGTGGAGAGTGTCCTGTTCTTCTGGTCAACATTGTTTCTTCTGTGTGTAGTCAAAATAGTCTGTCCAGCCTAGTTCTCCAGGTTGAAATATCTGTATGGAAGCATAAAACTTCATACTTAAGGAATGTAAGACATTTTTTTTATTGAACAGGTGCCTGCCTTTAAACTTCAGAGCGGAAGACTTAGCTAGTGGAATCCTGCGAGAACGTGTGAAAGTTGGGGCAAGTTTGGCTGATGTTGACCCTATGATTGTTGATAAATCGGTAGGTTTTGTTGAAAAATTTTTATTTTCCTTCCCCCGATTATGCATAAGCAGAGTTCATCACAGCCTCTCATTAGAGTTGAAGTAAATTTCTTTTTTGTTTTTTTTTCAGATTTTTTTATTCCATTGGGCTACAAAGCACTTGCTCTTGGCCCCTAAGTAGTGAAGATGCTGCATATGTATAATAAATAGGCCCAAATATCAACTACCCAACTATATTTCTTTGTTTACAGTCAGTTTGCTTGTAATTACTTGCAATAGTAGAAACTGGGATATGCTGAGCGGTACAGAAAACATAAGTACTGACCACCTGGATTGTTTAACTTGGTGCTAGCCGTGTGGGTCCTCTGCCTGTTCAGATACAATGGTGCACATTAGCTTATGGTGTGTGTTGTGCAGAAGCTGCAGAATGATTACTAAGGCTGAACTATTGTCTAGAAATACTTCATGTTATGCTGTGCCTGAGTTTAAAAATGCTCTTAGATGTGGGCTGGATCTCTGTAGATATCCAAGCATCCCTGGCACAGTTACATTGTGGACCAGATAAATCTCATGTGGGCAACCAAGAGTTGACTTTCTCAACTTTTTTTTACACTTTCAAAATTCAGGGAACTCCCGTTGTTCAGTGTTGGTTGTAATTTGTTTCCAAATGTATTATTTTATAAGTAAAGGTACTTTTGTGGAAAGCTGTAACAATAGCTTTGTGTGCTTTGGTTTTTTTCAAAGGTGCGTTTTGATAGTATAGGGGGATTGAGCCATCATATCCTTGCACTTAAGGAAATGGTAGTGTTTCCTCTTCTCTATCCCGAAATATTTGAAAAGTTCAAAATTCAGCCACCAAGGTAGGTGTATTTACTCTTATTGTTGTATTTTTACTTTATTAAGCTCTGTAAAATGCTTCGCTTGAAAACACATAGGAGATTGATTCTTTCCCTGAAGTGTTTTCAGTTCAAATAGACTTACATGATTGCTATGCCACTTGTCTATCAGAATGTAATAAGCAGGATGAAGAGTTAAAAAAATCTAGTGTATTTTTCTTGCGGTAGGAAGGTAAACTTTGTGATTTGGTCAAAGAAAGAATTCTCAAGTGTTCTTTTAAGTAGTACCTTGCCTTTTTTCCCACTATGTTATCAGATATTAAATCAAGCTAAATGCTGATGTTTCTTTCATAGCAGTAGTCTCAATAATGTTGTATTATGGTTTTAATATTTATTAGTCAGGCAACTTGGTGTGTGATTTGAATGGGTACACATAATCTAAGTAAAATGAAAATTTTAGGGTATTTCTGTCGTTTAAAGGAAGTATGTATCTCCAAAGAAGTAGTAAAAACTGACTCTAGTATTACCTAAGATTTAATATTTGAGGAGGTATTTAACTAGTGTAAAACAATCCTTTGGAAGCTTAATATGCCTTTGATCAATGTTCTCTACAAAGCAAAGATTTCCTGACTTGAAAGCATAAGGCAAACTTAGATTTGATGAAGTCATGTTGAATACACTAAATAATAAGACTACAACTTAAGTCTGTCTTCTCCAGGCTCCCTGTCTTTATTATAAAATTTGACTTGGAGTTTTTCAGGAGATGTAAAATAAGTTTGTGACTGTGTTGATCCATTTATCTTCAGGGGCTGTTTATTCTATGGTCCTCCTGGAACAGGTAAAACCTTGGTAGCTAGAGCTCTAGCTAATGAATGCAGTCAAGGAGACAAAAAGGTGGCTTTCTTTATGAGGAAAGGAGCGGACTGTCTCAGTAAGTGGGTTGGTGAATCTGAACGTCAGCTTCGACTCCTTTTTGATCAGGTTAGAGAAAATACATATTCTTCATATAATTTGTCTATATGTTGGTTTTTTTGAATTCTTGGCATCCACAATTATTTGCAATTGAAACTAAATGCCTGTAAATTTCCACAGACTGGGCAGGATTTGTCCAAAGTATGTATGTAGATGAATAAATAAAGGAATATTGAGAACAGGCTTTTTTTACTCTGAAAAGTGAGAGGAAGAAGTCTCTCAGCTTGTCCATTAATGAAGCAGACAAAGTAGTTCGAGTAAAAATTGATAAAAATATTTAAAGCAGTGAGTTTGGATTTAGCTGGCACGTTCAAGACAGATGCTATGTAGAGCGGGATGCAGGGTTGCATCTGCTGTGTGTATCTTTTACTGTCCTTATTTGGCTTGGAAAATGATGGATGTCACATAAAGCAGTGAAACGTAGTTGCTCAAACAAAAGCTCTTTTCAGACACAGATGTCTAAACAAAACAGGTTGTGAGCAGATAAGATCCTGTTTTCTGTAACTAAGTATAAGGTGTCTCTGTCTTGAATCTCTCCAACACACAGTAAAGCTGATACACTGGTGCCATCTTGCTTATTGAAAGGGGAATGCAGTCTTTTTTGCTTTGTCTGAAGCAGTAATGTAGCTGAAAATTCAGTTTTCAGACTGTTCACTTTTTAACAAAGATGTGTCAGTATATCTGTTAGTTCAGCATGTTAATGCCTTGTAATAAAAACAAACTGTTTTCGCTGTTGCTGGATAAATTATGAATTAACAGCGTATTCAATTTTTTTTTGCATACCAGGCATACTTGATGAGACCCTCTATAATCTTTTTTGACGAAATAGATGGCTTGGCTCCAGTTCGTTCTAGTAGACAAGATCAGATTCACAGGTAATATTTCTCATATGCTACCATTGTCTTGATATATGCTACATTATCTTGGTAAACTCTGAAGTGTAATTTTACTCAATTCCCAAGAAGATTTTTACTTCTGCTTAAGCCCACTTAGACTAGAAAGGAGAGGTTGTTGAATTTTTTTTAGTGTTGAAAGTAATTTTTTCAGTTCTTCAGTCAGGCTGTAATTTGCTGGGAATTGAATTGTAGTGGAGATTACCCTTCAGTCACATTATTAACTTCAAGATTTCCACAGCCTTCCATTGTGTTGCTTGTTTTGTACTGTAAACAGATTGTTACTAGCCCAATAGAATAACCAGGTGAAAAAAGTTTATTCTAAATTGATGGATTGTGATGTTCTGTGAATGAACTGGACATCCCTATAATTTTGATTCTGAATGGCATGGTGTGCAAACTTACCACGTCATTTTTTAAAACATTTTTTATAACAGTTTACTGCTGTCTGAATTTTTTCCTGGCTGCCTTCAGTCTTGTTTTTGCTGTGCTTTTTATGGCACTGCACCTATATATCTTTCATTCTATAGGTGATGACATTTGTGTATCTCCCTCCACACAGCTGAGGTGGACAGGAGGGAAATGTTGGGGCCAGCAGACTAGGAGGTTAGGGGGACATGTGGATCTGTCTTGATGTACCTTTTTTCTTTCTGGGGACATGTGGCTCTGTCTTGATGTACCTTTTTTCTTTCTGGTGCTACAGTTGTTCTAAACAGGATGATGCACACACTGTCAGTGGAAGAGAACTATTCAGAGCTGCAATAAATGGCTTTCTGAGCTCATATTATTCCAAACTTTTAAAGGAGGAGGTTTGAATTTGATGTAATCCTTACTGGAGTCATAATACTAAGTACAACACAAATTATAGCAAAAGGTTCCTTCTTGCTTTGAGACTTGAAACAATTATGCAACATTTTTTTTAACTTGGCTTTTTTTTTTTTGTTGAAATCATGAATGTTGCAGTTGAAAAAGTAAAATTCTTTCCCTTTTCTCTATGAATTTT